ACTCCAGTCTGGGTGACAGAGTGAGACTCTAACTCAAAAAAAACAAAAAAAAAAAAAACAGTTTCACCTGTTTAATGAAAAAAAATTTGAATGAATAGAATTATTTAAAGTTAAATGTAATGTTCTCCAAATGCCATTCTTTTCTGGTCAAAGTTTAATATGATGCCATACATACAGTGCAAATATATGTGACATACAAATGTAGATATCACATTTACATGTGTGCATATATGTGTGTGTATGTACATAAACATATAGAAAATGAGAAATACCTTTATATACTTACATGTAACTTTTTCTAAAGTGTAACATGGGTATTGATTGGAAGCGTATTTGGGAAGATTAGCACAGTGAAGGATTTGGAACTGGAAAACTGCTACTCAGCTGCTTTTATGTGACTCTTGGCTTTTCCCTTTTATTTCTGTTTCTTGTAAAATCTAGAAATACTTAAACAGGTAAGTCTAAATGTGTACACCATCATTTTTGATGGATGCTTTCAGAGGCTGGGGTTTAATAGGTCTATTCTGAAAAATCCCAGACAGAACACCTAACAGGAACTCTACCTAAAAATCATCTCATGTTAGAGCTACAAGGTTACTTAAAGATCCTGTTAGGCGGCACTTTGTGTTTTAGATGAAGAAACTAAGGCTCAGAGGTGTTAATGACCAAGATGTTATAGCTAGGTATAGGTTTTAATCAGGTTCTCTTTCTAACATAGTATGACAGTTCTCATTTCTTGATAATCAGATATGTTGGTAAAGTATGAAATGATAAAGCTCTACTGAAAAGAATGAATGCTCTGTTTAATTATTCTCTGTTTTACTAAAAGGTAAGAGAGTGCAAATCATTATGCCCTATCCCTGTTTTAGAATCTGGATAGTTACAGCAGTGTTTCTCAACTTTTTTTTCCCTTTTGCTCCCCTAAAGAGACTTTCTGGACTTTGTTTTAACCCCTTAATGGTCACCTTGAAATTTAGTGTCTCTATTTATATATTGTGACCGTTTTAGCATCCATTTACAATGGCAGTGTACACATTTATTTTTGTCTTTTTAATTATTTCTAGATTTTAGAAGAAACAAATAACAGGAAAACTAAATGCCACATAAAATCAAATCATTTAATCAACTGGCAGTTTCTCAATCTCAAATCCTTTATTGAACTCAGCTTTTCAAATATGCTTTTAATTAGCATCCATGATATACTTTGAAGCAAAAGTTTTTAAACCCCTTAGAGGTAATATCATTTCTGTTGAGAATATATGAGTTCAGAGAAAGCTAGAATGACAGTAGTTCTTAACTATCTTTCAGAAAGATGAGCTTTCACTTTACCTACTTATGTTTATTGCAGGCTTTCTTAGAAATGGCTTCTGAGGAAGCTGCTGTTACTATGGTGAATTATTACACTCCTGTTACTGCTCAACTTCGAAGCCAGCCTGTTTATATTCAGTACTCCAATCACAGAGAACTTAAGACTGACAATCTACCTAATCAAGCTGTAAGTATTAAAGGCATTTGTAAAAATAGATGTAAGAACAGATGGTATAATCACTTAAAATTAATTTTCTATACCTCATAGATAAAGAAAAATCATGTGCTTTTCTTCATTTTAGGATACTTTACTAGTCAGGATTATATATGTACATTCTCTCTTGACTTAGGAATAAGAAAGCAGTACCATTTAGAAACATATTGAAGTTAATATTTGGGGGGGACTCTCCCTTGCGCAGGCTGGAGTGCAGTGGCACGCTCATAGCCACCCCAGTGTCGACCTTCTGGGCTCAGGCGACCCTTCTGCCTTAGCCTTCCAAGTAGCTGGAACTACAGGTGCACACTACCACGGCTAGCTAATTTTTTGATTCATTGTAGAGATGCGGCCTTGCCAAGTTGCCCAGGCTGTTCTCGAGCCCATGGACTCAGGCAATCCCCTAACCTTGGCCTCCCAAAGTGCTGGGATTATAGACTTAAGCCATTGTGCCCAGCTGAAGTAAACTTTTTTTTTTAACTTTTCACAATTCCAAATGAGAAAAGAAATGTTTATATTGTTTTATACCTCTTAAAATCTCAGGTCTAAATGGAACTTTTAGGAAATCATTCATTTCTTAACTTTTTTTTTTTTTTTTTTTTGAGTTGGAGTCTCACTCTGTCACCCAGACTGGAGTGAGCCTCCACCTGCTGGGCTCCGGCGATCCTTCCGCCTCAGCCTTCCAAGTAGCCAGAATTACAGGCATGTGCTACCACACCCGACTGATTTTTTAATTTATTGTAGAGATGAGGTCTTGCTGCCCAGGCGGGTCTCGAACCCGCAGGCTCAGGCAATCCACTCACCTCAACCTCCCAAAGGTGGGGGGGGGATTACAGGCTGAGCCACCGAGCCGGCTGAAATCATTCATTTCAAACCCTCCTTTTTATAGAATATATAACAAAGGCATTGAGAGACTGAATGATGCTTATATTGTGCTGTTAAATAACCAAACTTAAGATGTTAACAAGAATTTGTTTAGAATTGTTTATTGAGTGATTTTTGACTCCTGAAGATGAATGTGAAATATAGGGTATCAACACCTTTGAATTGGAGTCTCGTTCTGTCGCCCAGGCTGGAGTGCAGTGGCATGCTCACGGCCACCGCAGCCTCGATCTGCTGGGCTCAGGCGATCCTTCTGCCTCAGCCTTCCAAGTAGCTGGAACTACAGGCATACACCACCACACCCAGCTAACTTTTTGATTTATTATAGAGATGAGGTCTCACCAAGTTGCCCAGGCTGGTCTCAAACCCATGGGCTCAGACAATCCTCTCACCTCAGCCTCCCAAAGTGCTGGGATTAGAGGCATGAGCCACTGCACCCAGCAGACAAAAATTTTTAAATAAAAACTTAATTCACAATGCAAGTACGTTTTAAGAAAGTGGGTTTTTGTTAAGTTAAAGGCACATTTGGCCTCTGGTTATTCTTGCTCTAGGCAAAGAACCTCTCTAGTTCTCTGATTTTGTTTAGAAAAATGTTACAATGCAAGCTACTGAGATTAAATTATAGTTTTCTAAAATAACATTATTTTTTGCACATAATCCTACACTTGTTTTAAGAGATATTAATAGCATATAATAAACTACATAAACCTTGAATAAATGTAATATTGCATGATTTTTAAATAGACTAGACTTTTTCTCATGAAAAATTGCCTTATAAATTATAAATAGGACACATGCTTATTGTAAACCAAACAATCCAGAAAAATAAAGAACAAAACAAACAAAAAAACCCCATAAGGCCGGGCGTGGTAGCTCATGCTTATAATCCCAGCACTTTGGGAGGCTGGGGTGAGAGGATTGCCTGAGCCCATGGGTTCAGCCTGAGCAACTTGACAAGATTTCATCTCTACAATTAAAAAAAAAAAATTAGCCAAGTGTTAGTGTGTGCCTGTAATTCCAGCTACTTGGAAGGCTGAGGTGGAAGGATCACCTGAGCCCAGTAGGTTGATGCTGTGGTAGCTGTGAGTGTGCCACTGCACTCCAGCCTGGGCGACAGAGTGAGACTTCAACTCAAAACAAAAAAAACAAAAAAACCCATAAAACAATTCAGTTATCCTGAGATAACTAATAACTAGTGCTAACATTTTGGTGTATGCACCTTCTCTGTTAAGGTGTTTGTGTATCTAATTTTACACAAGATGTTTTGAAATCTTTTTTATCTACAATATGTATATGATTTCATGACAACAAATATAGTTATGTCATAATTTTTTAATACCTATATAATATCCCCTTGTATATATATTAAAATTATATCCAGTTTTTAAATTGCATTGAGGTTGTTTCTAGTTTTGTCCTTTTTTTTTTTTTTGAGTTGACTTTTCACTCCATTGCCCAGGCCCCGGAGTGCAGTGGCATGCTCACGGCCACCCCAGCGTTGACCTGCTGGGCTCAAGTGATCCTTCCACCTCAGCCTTCCAAGTAGCTGGAACTACAAGCACACACTAACACTTGGCTAATTTTTTTTTTAATTGTAGAGATGAAATCTTGCCAAGTTGCCCAGGCTGGTCTTGAACCCATGGGCTCAGGCAATCCTCTCACCCCAGCCTCCCAAAGTGCTGGGATTATAAGCGTGAGCCACCACGCCTGGGCTTATGGGATTTTTTGGTTTGTTTTGTTTTTTATTTTTCTGGATTGTTTGGTTTACAATAAGCATGTATCCTTCCAAGTAGCCAGAACTACAGGCATGCATTACCACGCCTGGCTAATTTTTTTTTTTTTTACTGATAGCACAGCAACAACATATTTTAGCACACTTGCAGCATTATCTTATTAGGTTACATTTTTGGCAGTTAAATTGCTGAAAAAAGTATATACATTTTTAATCGTTTCATATATGTTGCTTTCTATAAAGATTATATGCTGAGTTAGTGTGCCACTGATAAGATATGAGCAAGCGGTTTTACAGTCTTTGTTAATATGACAGATGAGAAATTGCATCTTACTGTTTACTTTTATTCGATAATTTGTATGATACATTGATTTCTGTTAATGACATTTTCCCCATTTTTTTCTTTTTTAAAAAATGTATAACATTTATTTAGGCAAAAACGTTTCCAAAATAAAATCTGTGTATACAACATTAATACTTAAGTGATTTTCTTGTTTAAAATATAACATGATCCATGTACAAAATACTCCCATTCCCATTCATCTGGCCATAGTGAGAACAGTGCCTTTATATGAGAGTCTTTGAAATGTGCATACATTATACTTTCACAGGAATTGTTCATATCCTTTGAAAGGAACTAAACTCTTCTATCAGAATTCAAGCAAAAAACTTTCCTCATACAAGTCAGTGAAAATTTGACAGTGGGAGTTCTACAAAAGTCAGGGATGTAAAATTTTTTTATTCTTTAGATTATATGACAGTATAAATCTTGCCATAACAATCGCCCTTTTCCCCCCCATTTTTTTCATTGTGGGAAAATATACATAACATAAAACTTACCATTTCAACCATTTTTAAGTGCACAGTTCAGTGGCACTAAGTACATTCACATTGTTGTATAATCACTACCACCATCTATTTCTAGAACTTTTTCATCATCCCAAACTGAAACTCCCTACCCATTGTACAGTAACTCCACATCTTCTCCTCCCTCCTGCCTCTGGCAAGTACCATTCTACTTTTAGTCTCTATGAATTTTTCTGCTAATGCAGTTTTTACTATTTTATACATGTAGACAAATTTCTTAAGATTGCCATAATATACTTTTTTCTGACTTGGGTACCGTGCTCAGAAAGACTGGACACACCAAGATTAAAAAGAGAAACTACTTAGTTATTTTTATAGTTTGGTTGTTTATACTTATTTTTTAATTTTATATATATATATATATATATGTATATATATATATATTTTTTTTTTAAGTTGAGGTCTCACTCTTTCATCAAGTCTAGAGTATGGTGGCATGATCATAGCTTACCACAGCCTCAAACTCCTGAGCTCAGCTAGTCCTTCCACCTCAGCCTCCTGAGTAGCTGAGAATACAGACATACATCACCACACCTGGCTTATATATATTTTTTTCTTTTTTTTTTTTTTTTCTGTAGAAACGAGGTCTTGTTCTGTTGCCTAGACTAGTCTCGAACTCCTGGGCTCAGGCAATCCTCTTACCTTGGCCTCCTGAAGTGCTGGGATTACATGTGTGAGCCACCACGCCTGGTGGTTGTTCTTATTTTGATGTTTAAATCCTTATTCTATTAAGAATGTTTTAGATGTGCAGAGTGAGCGTAGGGGCTTCACTGTTCTTTATTCCAAGAGACCAATTTCTTCTGCATTATTTTTTAATAACCCCTTTATTATCCACTGTTTTGAAGTTTGTCCTTCACATATGTTAGTTTTCCATACACATTATGCCTGCTTATAACATGCATATACATACATATACATACCTTTATCTATACACATACATATGCAGACTTAGGTATGCCTGTACCTTTTGCTTACATGGCTTGACCTTCCTTCATGTGTGTGCCGACCACATGGTATGTACTCCATGTGTAACATGGACTAGCTTTTGCATTCTAAAAGCTTTTGGATTCTATTTCTGCTGCTGTGTGCCCTATAGCTTAATATACTATAGGGCAACGCCCTATCTCTTACTCTCTTTTCAGAAATTAACTGATTAATGTTTTTTGTTTCATCAGATGTATTTTATAATTATTTTGATAACTCTTGACCCCAAGAAATATAATTGAAATTGAATAGATTTTATAGCTTAATTTGGGGGTAATTAGCATATGTATATTGCTTTCTAATCCTTTTGAGGAGGAAGTTGTATTTTGTTTTATAACTTTCAGTAGAGTTTTAAATTTTCTTTCATATATAAGTCCTACAGTTTTCTCATTGTGATTCCTAAGTATGTTAGTATAAATCTTGAAGGAGAAAAACAATTTAATAATTCTTAAAGATTGGATTATTTCAAAGTGAAATAGTGAGAAATCCCAGTTGCTTGGCAACCAAAGCCAGCCTAAATGACCTAGTTTATTCTTAGATAGCCTTCATTTCTTCCTAGTAATCTTTCTATTTTGTTACTTTTGTGCAATTTTTATGCACAAAAAAATTTGATGTTTGATAAAATATAATAATTTTTCTTTTATTCAAAGTCATACACCAAACCTGATGTCAAAATTGAAGTTAACTGTTTGCATGTTTTAAAAGTACCATATGTCTTTTTATTCTGACAAACCCAGGCAGCTGATAAAGTGTTTTGTTCTCTTTTGTTCACTGAATAACATGCTATCCCAAAACATACACATTATTTTTTCAGTGTATGGACATACTTGCCAGAAGGTCAGATGAATATCAAGTGTTTTTCTTGAGTTGAGCTAAAATTATAACCACAAAGTTGAAATCATATTCTGAGGTATAACATTTGAGAATGGTTTTGTTAATGGCAGTTACTATTAAATTCAGTTTTTCTTGACCTTGTGAGTAGAAGTTTATAAATCTACAAAGAAATGACCATGGAAGATTTTTCTCTTAAAAAGTTTCCTAAACATTTATCTAACTGAACACTTAAGATCTGGGCATCTGGCTGGGCACATTGGCTCAAGCCTGTAATCCCAGCACTTTGGGACGCCAAGGCAAGAGGATTGCCTGAGCTCAGGGATTTGAGACCAGCCTGGGCAACTTGGTGAGATCTCATCTCTACAATAAATAATTAGCCAGGCATGGTAGCCTGCGCCTGTAGTTCCAACTTCTTGGAATGCTGAGGCGGAAGGATCGCCTTGAGCCCAGCAGATTGAGGCTGCAGTGGCCATGACTGTGCCACTGCCCCCTAGCCTGGGAGACAGAGTGAGACTCCAACTCAAAAAACAAAAACAAAACAAAGATCTGTGCATCTATTGTATGTTAATTCCCATCTTCTTAATTTGAAAAATGTCTACTTCATATTATCCTGACAGACTTAAATTTTACATGAAGCATGTAAAATTATCTTCTTACCTCACATTAATAGAACCTTTGTTTATTGACCATACTACTGCAGTTATTTCCTTTATTAATAGTTAATGTAGCCATTCCAGAGAATTTTTTACCCAAACATTTAAAAATTATTTCCCATAATAGGAATTCTTGAGGGCAGGTGCAGTGGCTCACGCCTATAATCCTAGCACTTTGGGAGGCCAAGGTGAGAGGATAGCCTGAGTGCACGGGTTCGAGACCAGCCTGGGCAACTTGGTGAGACCTCATCTCTACAGTCAATCAAAAAATTTTCCGGGCTTGGTGGCGTGTGCCTGTAGTTCCAGCTACTTGGAAGGCTCAGGCAGAAGAATCACCTGAGCCCAGCAGGTCAAGGCTGTGGTAGGCTCGCCAGCCTGGGCAGCAGAGTGAGACTCCAACTCAAAAAACAAAAAAAATAGGAATTCTGCTGCTTCCGAATTTTTAGCATCAGGCACACTTTCATGTTAAGATACTTTTTTGTTTTCTGCCTAAATGTTTTTGTCTAATTAAAAATTCAAACCATAGTTACTTAAATAAGGTTTTTTTTCAAGCATTACTGTCTCAGATTTTTATTGTCAGAAGCATTTTTTGCATGCCTGCTACTTAGAGGGTTTAGTACTTAGTGCTCTGTGAAGTACCAGTGCAAAGTATATTGAAAACTTTAGATTGATTAGGACAGTAAATGCCTCAGCTTTTTAGATTTTTCCACTATAATGTCTCTTATACCAAAGCAGCAGGGGTGAAAGAAGAGGAACAATAATAACAGCAGCAATGGTGTTAGTAACAGCAAACACTTTCATAGAATTATTTAATAAAAACATTGATGGAATGATTAATGGCATAATGAAGAGGTCAGTGGGGATAAATTTGTTGTTGATTGTACTTAGTTTTGATATGATTTAATCATTTTAATATAAGAGAAATAGAAACTGTTTTTACAATTCATACTTTACCATGACGATGTCTTTTCCCAGATACTCTGGAGCTGTTCCATTATGGTAACCACTAGCTAAATATGGCTAAATTTAAATTAATTAAAACATAAAATTTTTAAATTCAGCTTCTCAGTTTTACTAGTCACATTTCAAGTGCTCACTAGCTACATGTGGCTTGTGGCTATCATATTAAACAGTGTAGATGTCAAACATTTTTTGTTTTTTTGAGACAGAATGAAACCCTATCTCAAAAATAATTAAATATCTTTTAAAAAATTAAATGGTAAACTTTTATTAAAAATTACAATCATGAAGCAGAACACAAGAAATGTTAATAATTCAAAGTAGCACACAAAATACTGTGATCTCTAAAATTGCGACTGAATACCATATCTAAAAATGAAAGTAGTTATGTTAAAGTGGTAGGATTTTTCATTTTGTTGTACCAACGTTTTACTAATTATCAGCATTCTTTTCTTTTCTTTTTTTTTTTTTTTGAGTGGGAGTCTCACTCAGTCACACAGGCTGGAGGGCAGTGGCATGCTCCCTGCCACGGCAGCTTTGACCTGCTGGGCTCAGGTGATCCCTTCCACCTCAGCCCTCCAAGTAACTGGAACTATAGGCATGCACCACCATGCCCAGCTAATTTTTTGATTTATTGTAGAAATGAGGTCTCTCCAAGTTGCCCAGGCTAGTCTCGAACCTGGGGGCTCAGGCTATCCTCTCACCTCGACCTCCCAAAGTGCTGGGAATATAGGCGTGAGCCACCGCACCTGGCCCGTCCTCATCATTCTTAAGAAATTATAAGGTACAGAACAAAAGATTGATAAAAAAGATGCATTTAATTTCAGTAATCATTAACCAAGCTCTTTTCAGTTTTTTCTTCTACTATTTTTTTTTTTTTTTGACTCAGGGTCTCACTCTGTTTGCCAGACTGGAGTGCAGTGGCATGATCACAGCTCACCACAGCCTCGACCTACTGGGCTTAGGCAATCCTTCCTCAGCCTCTTGAGTAGCTGAGACTACAGATGCATGCCACCCTGCTCACCTGAATTTTAAAAAAAATTTTTTAGAGACAAGATCTCGCTACGTTGCCCAGGCTGATCTCGAACTTCTAGGCTCAAATAATCCTCCTGCCTTGGCCTCCCTAAAAAAAACTCACAAAATGTCACATGCAGGTTTTGGCTTACCCCTGTAATCCCAACACTTTGAGAGGCCCAGACAATAGACTTGCTTGAGGCCAGGAGTTAAATACCAGTCTGGGCAGCATAGTGAGACCTATCAAATATGTTTTATGCTCATGTTGTGCTTTCTCTGCCCCTGTTTTGCAACAAGCCATTCTTCTAGAGTACCCTGGTTCCTTTACTTGGAGAATATTTAGAAGATTATCTGCCTACCCTTGGCTTGGGCTATCATATTCCATGTCATGGTCTTTAATGTTTTCATAGTGTCTTTTTCTACCTGATTGTCTTAAAAATTATATCCAAATTTTCTCTTTTTTTCATTTTTTTCTTCATGTAAATTTAAGCATCTTTTTAAAATAGTGTCATTGTAATAAGAAGGCAAGTCTTTGACTCTTGACTGATTGCAAATTTAGAATATAAAATAGATATGTATTTTTTTATTTGTCTATATTACTTCATATTATTTTACATTGACTTACTTTTAGAATTCATGTAATGCTTCTATATAATCAAAAGTTCTCATTTTGGATTATTCTGTAGAGAACCCAAGCTGCACTGCAGGCTGTCAGTGCTGTCCAGTCAGGAAGCCTGGCCCTTTCTGGAGCTCCTTCCAATGAAGGCACAGTCTTACCTGGGCAGAGCCCTGTACTCCGAATAATTATTGAAAACCTCTTTTACCCTGTTACTCTGGAAGTTCTTCATCAGGTAAGGATGAATACTCTTAAGAAAGCCGTGTCAAATATGACTTCTGTAACTTTTGATATTTTAGTCTAAGTTTTTTAGCTTGTTGCTTTTGGTTTATATATTTCTTTAAACAATGAAAAAAATTTTCACCATTCTGTTTAATACAAAGAAATAAATACGTTTTTGACAGCCTCCTTTTTTCTAATTTAAATACTTTTAAAAGGATGTAAAAGGTTTGATTTTTTTTAATAGCTAAACATTATAATAACACATAGATTACTATGAAAAGGGCAATAGTAGTTGTTTCTTAGAAAGTAACATCACTACAGGGTACAGCTTATTTATTTCTTTTGGCCTCTTACATTTGAGCATTTTAATTTTTAATTCTGAAGGGAGTCCAGGTGCAGTGGCTCATGCCTCTGATCCCAGCACTCTAGAAGGCCAAGATGGGAGGATCGCTTGGGTCCAGGAGTCTGAGACCAGCCTGGGCAGGATAGTGAAACTCCATCTCTACAAAAATATTTAAATATTAGCTGGGCATGGTAGTAACATGCCTGTGGTCTTGGCTGTTTGGAGACTAAGCTGGGAGGATCGCTTGAGCTTAGGAGTTTGAGGTTGCAGTGAACTATGATCACACCATTACACTTAAGCTTGGGGAACAAAGCAAGACACCACCTCTTAAAAAAATTTTTTTTTCCTTTGGGAGGCTGAGGTGAGTGGATTGCCTGAGCCCGCGGGTTCGAGACCCGCCTGGGCAACTTGGCGAGACCTCATCCCTACAATAAATCAAAAATTAGCCGGTTGTGGTAGTGAGCGCCTATAGTTCCAGCTACTTGGAAGGCTGAGGCGAAAGGATTGCCGGAGCCCAGCAGGTCGAGGCTGCGGTGGCCAGGAGTGGCCGCTGCACTCCAGTCCAGGCGACAGAGTGAGACTCCAACTCAAAAAAAAAAAAATTTTTTTTTTTAAGGAAAAGTATGTAATAAATCTTTATATGTAACATGGATATATAATGTTGGCTAAGTTGATGCTCAACTTAGCCTTCATATACTACCCATTAATATGACTAAACTGTTTTTATGTTTTGTTTTGTTTTGTTTTGTTTTTTGAGTCACAGTCTCACTTTGTTGCCCAGACTGGAGTGGAGTGGCACGCTCATGGCTACCACAGCCTCGACCTGCTGGGCTCAGGAAATCCTTCTGCTTCAGACTTCCAAGTAGCTGGAACCACCAGCATGTGCCACCACTCCTGGCTAATTTTTTTTTTTTTTTAATTGTAGAGATGAAGTCTCACCATGTTGCCCAGGCTGGTCTCGAACCCTTAGACTCAGGCAGTTCTCTCGCCTCTGCGTCCCAAAGTGCTGGAATTAAAGGCATGAGCCACTGTGCCTGGTGTTAAACTGTTTTGATAAAAGGCATTCTACCAAATAGTGTTAAGTAATATGTAGAATTTAAGAACTGGACGATAACCTAATTTCATAATTTTGTAGTGAATGAAACTGTAACCCAGATAGTTAATGAGAATTGAACATTGTAGAGAGTAATTGAAGAGTCACAGTTGGAACTTAAGATTCCTGATATAATGTCCAGTGTATTGTTTTTGAATGCTTGGTACACTTTTAACACCTACTTCATATATACATATCCTCAAAAGGTAATATACAGTTATTTGGCAATCTGAGTGCATTAATATTTTACATCTAACCCAAAACTTTAGTCAGCGTTTGTCCCCTTTAGCTATATATTGATTTTATTTCATTACACTTACCAACACATATATTAAAATATTAAAACACATCATATGCTTATTTTAATTTAACAGAATCATACTTTGGATTCATACTACTCAGTAAAGAGTCATGGGGGAGGTATTCATGTTTGTTTAAGAATTGAGATGCATTGACTGGAAGCTGTGGCTCAATTCTGTAATCCCAGCACTTTGGGAAGCCGAGGCGAGAGGATTACCTGAGCCCAGGGGTTCGAGACCAGCCTGGGCAACTTGGCAAGACCTTGTCTCTACAACAAATCAAAAAATTAGCTGGGCATGTGCCTGTAGTTCCAGCTGCTTGGAAAGCTGAAGCAGAAGGATCACTTGAACCTAGCAGGTCAACACTGGGGTAGCTGTGAGTATGCCACTGCACTCTAGCCTGGGCGATAGAGTGAGACTTCGACTTAAAAAAAAAAAAAAAAAAAAGAAGAACTGAAACGCATCTTATCCTGTTCTCACATTTTACAATAAGGATTGGGGCTCTTAGATGTTTATTTACTATCCTATAGACAATGTACTAATTGATAATAGAGCTCAAACACATTTTCCAATAAGGGTTCTATTCCATACATGTAAATATTAAAATATGCCAATTGGTGGGCTTGCTGGATTCCCCTTTGATTGTCTTCTGAGTACCATTTTCAAAATATATGCATTTGTGAAGCATGTGCTAGGAAGGATTTTTAACGTAGACACCATTGCTCCCTAAAAGGGTTTAGCAGTTGCTGAAGTGATTGGTTTCATTGTTCTATCAGATTTTCTTCTTTTCTATGTATCTGACAAAGTGACATTGAAACTAAAGTGATCTATCAGCAGTGTTTGTTTGCTGCTGTAATACTGTGGCTACTGTTAACTTATACTATTATAAAAGATGTTCTTGTGTCTGGCCCAAAAGTGCCATCAGCCAGTAGTTAGCTTAGCCAGGATCATGTGGTCCCGTCCTGTCATTCCATTTATCATTTCCCTGAGTCCAGTAACCTTGTTTTTCCCCCAAAAAAATCAAGTGAAGAGGACTAATTCTGAGAGTCCTCAACAGCAACTGTTGGGGTAGGATTCTCAAGTATTTGAGTCATAGGACTCCCTTGTTTAACCCTCTTTCCCAGTGCTGTTGCAATAAAACCAGCTACTTACCAAGGTCCCCATATGCAGACTTCTCCCTCATCTCTTTATCCTTATTTCCTAACACTCTTCTGCTTATTTCACACCTGTCCTTCAGGTACTCTCTGTCCCTCCCTTTCCTATTCTCCAGCTTAGTCCTGTTCTTAGTCTCTTTCTATCCTGTATTTCTTAGGCCTGGAACACTCTTTATCCAGGTCGTCACTTGGCTGGATCATTCAGTTCTCATCTCAAATGTTGCCTTCTCAGGGAGTCTTAATGTAATTACATTAGCCAGGCCTCTCCCCTTCACTCTGTCCTATTAGCATAATGGTTAAGGATACAAGATCTGGAGCTGGTTTGAATCCTGGCTCTACTACTTAACTACCTCCATAACCTTGGGCAAGCAAGTCATCCCTTCTATGTCTGTTTTCTTATTTTTATAATGAAGATGATATCTATCTTATCCTTTCATTGTGAGGATTACACTAATTAATGTTTTTAAAGTACTTAGAACATTGCCTGGTACATATTAAGTACTTAGGAAAAGTTTAGTTCTAATGATCAGATTCTAGTAAATTACAATGTAAGAAACTAGTTTTTGTTCTTGTAGTTTTGAGTGTAAGAGAGTAATTTCATAAGTAATAGCATAGAATGTAATAGGGAATATACAAAAGTATGGAATTTGTTATACCTGTTGTAATTAATTAGATGATTATTTTTTGCTGGAAAGTTGGCACTAGCTCAACTGCTGTCTAACATCTATAGAAGCCAGTGTTCTTCCTTTAGTTCATGGTGAGAGAATTGATAGTGACTGAGGTGGAACGGGTGCTATTTTACTTGTAGTAAATTAGGGAAAGTCTTTCCAATATAACATTTGAGCAGAGGCTTGAAGGATGGTGAGACTATAGGTTATGTGTATGTGTGGAGGAATAATGATCTGGCCAGAAAGAAGAGCAAGTGCAAAGTCTCTAAGATGGAAGTATACTTAATGTGTCCAAGTATCAGAAAGAAGACTGGTATTACTGGAATTTAGAGAGTAGGAAAGCCATAGCTGAGCGAGTGTCAGAGCAGGGTTAGGAGTCAGATGATGCAAAGCTTTTATAATCTACACTGGGTAAGATGGGAAACCACTGGAAGATTTTGAGTAGAGCAGTGAGATTATATCATTTGTTTTAACAGAATCACTCTTGTTGCTGTGTTAAAGATAAACTGTGTAGGGACAAGTAGAGGCTCTTATAGTTCAAATGAGAGATGGTGGTGGCCTGGTTGAGGGCATGGGCATTGGAAGTGGTGATTATGGCCTTTATTTTTTTTTTTTTTTTTGGAGTTGGGGTCTCACTCTGTCGCCCAGACTGCAGTGCAGTGGCTGCTCCCGGCCACCGCAGACTCGACCTGCTGGGCTCCGGTGATCCTTCTGCCTCAGCCTTCCGAGTAGCCGGAATTAGAAGCACACACTATCACGCCTGGCTGATTTTTTATTTATTGTAGAGATGAGGTCTCGCCAAGTTGCCCAGGCGGGTCTCGAACCCGCGGGCTCAGGCAATCCACTCACCTCAGCCTCCTAAAGTGCAGGATTACAGGCTGAGCCACCCAGCCCGGCTGGCTTTTTTTGTTTTTTTTTTTTAGAGGTGGGATCTCACTATGTTGCCCAGGCTGACCTCAAACTCCTGAGCTCAAGCAATCTTCGTCCCTCAACCTCCCTACAAGCTGGGATTACAGGTGTGTATCACCACACTGGGCTTCCATTGATATATTTTGAAGGATTTGCTGATGGACTGATTGTGGGCTATGAAGAGAAAGTAAAGACTAGGGTAAATAAATAATAGTAAGATAAAAATAATAAAGAGGAAGAAAAGGATTTGGGGCAGAGGTTAGATGTAGGGCAGAAATCAAGAGTTGGTTTTGAAAGTTTGAGATACCTATTAGACATCCAAGTGAGAGATGTTGGATAGGCAACTGGGAATTAAGTCTGAATTTCGAAAAAGAATTCTAGACTGGAGATTTGGTAACCATCAGCATAGGTCTGGTAATTAAAGCCATTGGATTATATGAATGACGTCACCTGAGAATATTAGTAGATAGGGAATTAATCGACTGATTCATTATGTAAATGCTCAACCCTACATAATAGAAACTTCTTTGTTTATGAAAGAAGTAGC